CCCCCCCCCCCCCCCCCCCATACATGCATTGCTTACAGCTTCTCCGCGTGCCCTGTAGAGGTGCATAGATTGGAGTGATGTCACATCCTGGCTCCCGGCATCTCTACAGGGTGCACAAGGGAGTTGTACAAACAATGCACATAAGGATGGAGCTCCGTCACAGCCCAGCAGCCCGCACTGGACCCCAGGCTGAGGATCCGGTTCTTATAAGGTAGGGAGACTGGGTGCATCTTGGTTTGTGTCTAGGGGATTGTGTCTGTGGTTGTGTGAGTCTGCCGGTGTTTTTGAGGGCTGCCGTTCACACTAGTACAGTGCATTCATTGAACAGTCCTGTGCAAATAATGCACTGTACCACGCAATCACACCTTCTACACATTCTGGTGTGGGAGGCGCATTGCCATTCATTTGACACAGTTGTACACAGTTCAATTGGGTCGTGACCAAGGACAAATGTGGGTCCTGAGGTTACACAGGTTGAGAACCACTGGTTTAGAGGCATTGATTAATGAAAGGGTTAACCTTTTTCAGACACCCGATACCTTTTAATATCGGGTGTCGGAGAGTCAAAGCAGAGCGGACAAACATGCCGGCAAACATTCTGACAGCTCGTATAGATCGACAGATATCTCTCTCAAGCTATACTGGCTTTTTTTTTTTCTTTCACTTTCAGGAATAGACACATAATGTCTCTATTCCTGAAAGAAGAATGTTTCAGTTTTCTGATGGTTGTTGCAACAATCAGAAAACTAGTGACAGCTAAATCCTGAACAGCTGCAGGATCAGTGTCACTAACTTAGGCCCGGTTCACACCTGGGGGTTTTGTAGCGCGTTCCTACGCTCTGCAAAACGCTCAAACACCGAAATCCCATTTATTTCCTATGGGTATGGTTCACACCCTGGGCACCTGTAAATGGGTACAGGAGCTTCTTTGGGGGGTTTTTGTTGCGCGTTTCCATTGGGATACTGCCAAGTAGCCCTCGGAAACGCGCGACTGTCGCACGTTTTTTAACCGAGAATCGCGGTAAAAACGTGCGTCACGAAACGCGCGACAAACGCGCATATTCGATACGCCTAGGTGTGAACCCAGCCTTATTATCGGCTGTTCTGAAGTTTGAAGCAGCCTGATAATAACCAAAAATGTATTAATTTATCAAGCAGTAATAGTGAGATTAATTCACAATGACTGCTTGATATAATTAAATAAATAAAATAACATTTTGAAGTTTAAAATAATAGTGAAAAGTGTAAAAAAAAATAAAGGACAAATAAATGAACGGTTTTTATTGCATTTTTTTCGCTGCGCTGGTTTTGTAAAAAAAATACTACAAATCAAAACTGGGAAAAAAGTGTTTCTTTTACGTTTTTTTTTTTCCTCCTTTTTTTTATATTTTATTTGTCCTAAGTGAGGCGTTAGACACACATATGTGATATAAATATGTAGCCCTATCTGTCCTCTAAAAAACAATATATAATATGTGTGGGTGCACTTTGTAAGAAAGTATGTGACTGACGTGGAAGAATCACACAGCAAAAATGTCAAAAGTGCGTCCCGTCATTTACCAACAGGAACTGGAAACAAGCTCGGTCATGAAGGGGTTAAGCTTCAGTGAGGTGTAAGGTGCTATGATGTGGTATCCGGTTGGAAATGATTTAGAAGCTGAAATACCACTTCCCTCTGCTGGTACTCCGCCTGTAACCACACGCTGCGCAACATCCCAGTCATCAGCTGTCAGCGAGTGTCTGGGGGGTGATGATGGGGGTTAGACTCCGATTTATGCCAAAACCACCAATCTGTCATTTATACCGATTCTGAAAATCTGAGTAAACCCCTCTCTGTACTATCGTTTTCTTTTCTATTATTACCGCCATAAGGTCTTTCTTGTCGTTCCTTTTCCCCTTTCTTGTCGTTCCTTTTTCCCCTTTCTTGTCGTTCCTTTTTCCCCTTTTCTTGTCGTTCCTTTTTCCCCTTTTTCTTGTCGTTCCTTTTTGCCCTTTTCTTGTCGTTCCTTTTTGCCCTTTTCTTGTCGTTCCTTTTTCCCCTTTTCTTGTCGTTCCTTTTTCCCCTTTTCTTGTCGTTCCTTTTTCCCCTTGTCCCCTTTTCCCTTTTTTTTCTTTGCTTCCCGTCCCCTCCAGAGGATGCATATCCTTTTGCTGATGTGGCAGGGAAGGATATCAGCAGTGACTTCACTGCAGGTGAAATAGTGTTGTCACCCAGAAGGAGGAAGTACCACGGCCTGGCAGGATTAGGAGCTATTTAGTCTTTTAAATACAAAGCTTCTCGTAGACTTAAAGGATACAAAATGTATTTCTTTGCTATGGAGGATTTTTATGCTAAGTTTGAATTGTCGGGTATAGAAACACCTAAAATCTGGACGGGGAGATCGGCAGACATTGTCCTCATGCAGAGCCCTGTGTATTCCCCCTTAGAATCTCAGTGAGCTTTGTGCATTTCTTCAGGTCTGTGCAGTGATGCCGTGTGAATCCTGGAGCTGAAAGTCTTGACGGGCCGGCATTGCTCTCTCGGAGTACTTGCGTCTCTCCCTCACTCTGTGCGTTGTGCCTTCTTCTTTCTTTTGCAGTCCGCAGGCGCCCGCCCCTGAAGCCCCGGAGGTGCCATGGTCAGAACAGGAAAGCGCGGTCCATCACCTGACCGAGGCGGACTTTGACGACTTCCTCAAGGATCACCCGTCTGCCCTCGTTATGTTCTACGCCCCATGTGAGTATTTTCTTCATCTCAGATCACTTTAAATGAATGTCCCAGAACTAGTAATTGGTGTGAGCTCTGCCCATCTGAAGTGTGCCATGGGCGCAATACACTGCAAGGTGCCCGCACTCTTAAGTTACAGCGCCCGCCTACAGCGATGTCCGATGTCACATCAATGCAATCGCATTCCTTCACAGTAGAACCGCAATATAGAATCGTACAAGTCGCGGAGATTCTTTTACAATATATCGCAGATTCAGGGCTGCGGTCAAACATTGCAATAGAACGAGAAAACTGGAACCTCCTCAGTCTGCGCTCGGCCTCCAGAGAAACTGACACGATTATTCTCTGTTATCTTATCTCTTATATCTTTTCTAATGGAAACGGGAACTGTAAACCCAGAGGAAAAACATCTCCGATAAAAAACTACGAGGGGAAAAACAGACAGAAGTGAATGCAAAATAGATAATAGAGCGACACGAGATAGAAGTTTAGAAGGACAAAACAAAAAGAAAACGAGATTCATTGTGTATAGAACTATTCATACAGATCACATGGTGATTGGGCGTGCAGCTACAATCTGATCACTGAAAGATTTTGATTTAAAAAAAATAAACATTGGAAGTTGAATCTGACCTCCGTCCTTCCCTTCAGTCTTCTATCTGACCTCCGTCCTCCCCTTCAGTCTTCTATCTGACCTCCGTCCTTCCCTTCAGTCTTCTATCTGACCTCCGTCCTTCCCTTCAGTCTTCTATCTGCCCTCCGTCCTTCCCTTCAGTCTTGTATCTGACCTCCGTCCTTCCCTTCAGTCTTCTATCTGACCTCCGTCCTTCCCTTCAGTCTTGCACAGTTTATACCAGCTCCTTTGATAGGACTTATAGTTCCCTCCTACCATTAGTTATTGCTCCACCGCAACCTTGGAGGCCAACAAAAGCTCTCGCGTTGAATTTTTTGGCGTGGGCTCAGATTTGGAGAAGTAGTTGAGACCTCTATGTATAGTGTGTGAGAATTAAAGTGCTTTCCAGGAGCTCAGGAAACAAGAAGGTGCCAAATAGAAGCTTTATAATATAATTAGGGTTGCACAGATACCAATACCGGACTCGGCACAAGTACCGATACGTTTCCAGCTCCAAGACTAGACTAGAGAAACATTCAAAGGTTAGGAGGCCGCTGTCATGTGTGAGGAGCACACGGAGCTCCCGGGATTTGTACATTTTTGTTATAATGTATCATTTTGTTTTTATAAATATATATTAGTGATGCACAGATACCAGTTTTACAAGTACTGATACAGTTTTGTTTATTGTCATGTGACAGTTTTTGTAAAACAATACAGACCAATGATTTCAGGACAGCGGTGGAGCGCCAGAGCCCGGTCCCAGCTGCAACCCTGGGAGTTCTCCTGAACATGCCAAGTATCGGCATTGGCACTCGAAAAGTATCGGTGCATCCCTAAATATAATGCCATGTAGTGCCACCAGAGCTCAGACATACCACAACTTCTGAATGACTTTATAAACGAAACAAAAATAAAAAACAAGTTGAATTATTAGCTAGAAGAATAGAAATGAACAAGAATCAGCAGGAAAATAATCTTTAAGGGGAGAAGAGAAATAAGGAGGTCGGAATTAGGGCTCCTTAGGGTAAGCGAAGGGTTAATAAAATGTTTAACAGATGTTATTACAAAACATAAATAAATACTGCTCAGGTTGCTTTAACTGATATCTTATACAGAGGGAAGCTCATCTCTTTGATCAGCAATTGAACAAAACAGAGTAGATACAAAAGATACAATGTTACTTTGTATCTCTCTATCTCCCTCTGATCAATGTTTATAAACAATGTTACTTTGTATCTCTCTATCTCCCTCTGATCAATGTTTATAAACAATGTTACTTTTGTATCTCTCTATTTCCCGGTTATCATTTTGATAGGTGGATTTCTCCGGCATGTACGAGGGTGCAGTGGGGTAGGACCAGACATACCACACGTGCCCTGTGTGCTATGATTAGGGGCATTTGTAGCACGTTCAGTCTCCACAATTCTTTAGGTATCATAAATAATTGCCGTTTTTTTTTTCTTTTTGGATAAAACTCCTTGTCATCCATTTTGGGTTTACATCGACTTTGACACCTTTTTCCTATTAGCTGCTTTTCTTTCCCTGGACAGATTAACTTGACTGATGGGGGAGGGAGGGAGACATTTCACGGAGGAGCCATGGCACCGTCGCTGCTCTTATCGTGTCCCCGACCTCCAGCCTGACGGTGGCCGGTGACAAATGTTCCCGCCGTCGGCATACATCTCCTAATGGAACATCCTAAATCGGATCTGTTGTTGTTTTGTTCCGCTGATTTAAAGCCTTGGCTTTGTCCCGGAGAATGGACGCCTCGGAGTGAATTATCCCTGCGTGGGACCGCAGCCGCCGGCCTGGCTCCTTAGGTCTGTTTTCGGCGCGGAGAATAGATTGACATGAGATGATGAAATCCTTTCTGTCTGCCGCTGGGCCGGATTAAAGGTTTCGGCGCTGAGGAGGAACAATGATTATGCTAATTCCCGATTTCTTGTTGAACGACAACATTCGCCGCTCATATTCCACCCCGGAGGTGGCCGCGCACAAGTCACTAATTGAGGGAAATTGCTGCTGGAAGGAGGAGTTCCGCGGCAGTGGCAGATACCGCCGTGCGGCTGTAATGGGGTGGCGTTGTGGTCCTCTGGGAGGGGGGGGCCCTTTGAGTCCCGGCGCCCCGCGGGCAGCGCTCTCCTGGCTGGCGGAACGTTGTGTGCGGTGAGACGCGCTCCTCTAAGAGAAAGTGGCAGATTCAGGTATTGGGCGCAGCTGGAATGTGGTGACCTACATGAGGCTGTGGGAGGAGCTCAAGTTATGTCACCGTCGTGTCTGCCGCTCGGCGACCTCCTGCAGCTCCATTGTTTCCCCCAAAATAACCGATTTCTCCAGCTCCCCCGAATGTCATTAATGGCGGTTCCGGGGGGAAGAAGAAAAACATTTCCCAAAAAGAAGCCGCCAACGACAGTGGAAAGGAAATTAAAAGAGAGCTCCGGACTGACTGTAAGGCATCATGATATAAATCAAGTAGCTGCTGCAATCACTAATACAGCTTACTGATCCAGCACTGCTTCCTCCTCCACTATTACTGATCCAGCACTGCTTCCTCCTCCTCTATATGAAAAGACGCACACTGTCACCTTATATACAGATTACTGATCCAGCACTGCTTCCTCCTTTATATGACAAGACGCACACTGTCACCTTATATACAGATTACTGATCCAGCACTGCTTCCTCCTCCACTATTACTGATCCAGCACTGCTTCCTCCTTTATATGACCAGACGCACACTGTCACCTTATATACAGATTACTGATCCAGCACTGCTTCCTCCTTTATATGACAAGACGCACACTGTCACCTTATATACAGATTACTGATCCAGCACTGCTTCCTCCTCCACTATCTGACCAGACGCACAGTGTCACCTTTATATACAGATCCCTGATCCAGCACTGCTTCCTCCTCCACTATTACTGATCCAGCACTGCTTCCTCCTCTATATGAAAAGACGCACACTGTCACCTTATAACTTTGTATTATGTTCATGACTCTTATTTGTATCTTTTGTATTGCACCGTGACAGACGAGGGCGCAATGTAAACGAATATTAATATCTCTGCAGGGTGCGGACACTGCAAGAAAATGAAGCCGGATTATGAGAAAGCTGCCGAAAAGCTTCAGGCGGAAGATGTGAGTTTCCCTAAAATCCATTTATGTCACATTTATCTCGTCTCTTCCAATGATCCTCAAGGAGATTGAGCCGAGCGGCGGCTGATTGCTAATTGGCACGAGAGCGCGCGGTGCCAAGTCCGGAGCGCATTACAGGAACGGCCCGAGCGGCTTGTGTATTAGGAGGAACTGTCTGCCGTCGGATTAATTAAAGTCGTCATATTTGGAGAAACGCAGAAAACGGGCCGTTTTTATGGGAAAATCGCTGGACGGGCTCGCCGCCGCCGCGCACGGCTGGTTCACCGAGCCGCATTCATCACTTCTAATCAAGTGAATGAATAATCCTGAAGGCTTCTACACCAACGTCGGGCGCGTCCCGCCACAGCGGGAGAATTGACTCTCTGAGGTCGCGGTCTGTAGTCTCCGCGGAGGATCGAGAACTCCACGTTGTAGAGATTTCCCGTCACTTCCTGTTGTCTCTTTGGGACAGGAAATGAAGGGAAATCTCCCCCCAATGGGACACAGACGGCAAAAAAAAAGGTTTAAATCAGATAAAATTGAATTTTCCCATTAAAAGATAAAGTTTTGCTGCAATATGCCAGAGATTATTATTTTTTTGTTAGTATATGTCCTCTGCAACTGCAAAAGGAGAAGCTGCACAGTAATGAGCTCCTCTCTCTGTCACTCTGCTTTCTTCCCTATCAGCATGCTTCTAGTCAGCAAATGAACTGCTTGTATCCTTGTGCTGCTTCTTCCTCTCGCACTCCAGCCCTGCTGTACTGCGATAGTTACATAGTTATTCAGGTTGAAGAAAGAAAGACACATGTCCATCGAGTTCAACCTAATAGGCTGATACCAGGTCACATTCAGGTACTTATGCTGCTTGTATTTTGAAAGAACAGTCCATGTAGTGATGTATTGGGGCTCATTCACACGGGTGTGCATGCCCATGCAGAGACCTACTCTCGGGAGGGACAGGTGCTGTGTGTAACCTGCACATCTGTGCCGACCCAGGTGCGCACTCTTGCATGCCGCTAGTGTCTTTGGGGAGGTACAGGAGGCTGCATGCCATTTCATGTGGCACCTCCCCCTCCCAGGAGGTGGTCTCACCCGTGTGCACAAGTCCTTAATGATCACAGCGTCCTGTTTCTTCTTCTTCCACCAGCGAAACTCCTCCCCCTGATGTCCGGATTGGCGCGGAGCTCATCGCCATCTCTTCTTGTTTCAGGGCGGAGCATTGGCGGCGGTGGACGCGACCGTGCAAAGGTCCCTGGCCGAGCGCTTCAAAATCTCCGGCTTCCCGACCTTGAAGTACTTTGAGGAGGGCGAGGACAAGTACACGCTGCCTCACCTGCGCTCGGAGCAGAAGATCGTGGAGTACATGCGCAAGTAAGACCCCGCCTCCATTGTCATATGTTAAAGGCCAACTCTAGACCTATAACGGCGGTCCGTTCACACTGCCGGGGGAAACACTTCACTTGTGTCATCTGAATGTTGCACTTACCATTGCCCCAGACTCCCTGTCCTTTATATACGTGGAGCTCGTGGTTGTGGGGGCTATCCTGTGACGGGTGGGTTGGGGGCTATCCTGCGGTGGGTGGGGCTATCCTGTAGTTTGCATGTCATCCCAGTGTAAGGTCCAGGCCACTGAAAGTAGAATTTCCTATACACATTAGGTGCGTTCTATTGGCTGTTATCAGGTGTGGTCGGCACTATCCTGTGGTGGGCGGGGGCTCTCCTGTGGTGGGCGGGGGCTATCCTGTAGTTTGCATGTCATCCCAGTGTAAGGTCCATGCCAATGAAGAAGTAAAATTCCTATACAAGTTAGGTACGTGCTATTGGCTGTTTTCAGGTGTGGCCCCTGGGAGCTCGAACTGCTGCGTGCGGAGCCAGCCTGATGGGCGTGGCCTGCTGATGATGGACCTTCTGATAGGAACGTTATTGTTAATGCCCCACCGCAGGGTCCGGGGGTCGGGACGCCTGGGCAGAGTTCCCTAATAATATAATTCATAAGATCTGCGTAGCTCCAGATCCGTGGTTGGCATCTAGGACTTTTGACTGATGGGGCCCCTTGTATGTTCTCCGCACTGACACTTATGTTCTCATGGCAGCCCTGAGGCCCCGCCCCCTCCCGAGCCGGCCTGGGAAGACAAGCCGTCCAGTGTGTTGCACCTCCTGGGGGAAGATTTCAAGGAGAACCTGAAGAAGAAGAAGCACGCGCTCGTCATGTTCTACGCTCCCTGTAAGTACAATTGTTTTGTATCGTCTGCAACATGTAACCGTCCAGAACCCCCCCCATCGGGCAGGACGTGTGCTGCGTGTACACTGAAAACATGTATGTATGTATGTATGTGCAGCCGTCACTGGAGTGCATGTAGACTAGAAGGGGCTGCAAAAGGATGCAGGGGATTAGCAGGAGGAAATAAACCCAGCGGAGGTTTCTGATGCACGGAGCGCGCTCATTGTGATACATTTGGGGGTCTCCTTCTCCGGGGTCGGCGTGGAAACGGTTAACCGCCGCTCGCTCTCGTTCAGTTTTATATCTTCTCGGATTTGCATTTTTTCCCCCGATAACATCCAAACAAACAGATTCTCGAATATTTTCATTACACGTCTGCCAGCAGATTATCCACCGCGAGCGAAAGCGCCGAGGACGAGGAGAGACTATGAACGGCGGCGCGGTGCCAGCAAAAAAAAACCTCCGGCGCGTCTTTTCCCGCGCCGCGCCAATCTCCCTGATTTTCTGTCTCGTTTTTTTATCAATTTCCGCCTTCTCCTAACAACCGCCCGCGCTGATTTTGTAGCGACGTTATTTGCGACGCGTTTAATGGACTTTAAAGTGCGAATCGTAAATGTGGAATCGTGCGTGAAATTCATCACTTCACAAGGAGCTGTGAACGCCTTTTATTTACTGCGTTTTATATAGCGCTGACATATACCGCGGCGCTGTACAGAGGGTCAGTCACAGTGAGGGGCCATTCATTCTGCTGCTCTCTGCGCCATTTCTCATTTGTGTTTTCGGCGCGGAGTTAAACCGCGTCCCTGATCTCTGATCGCGGATTATTGGATTTGTAGCCGGCAGTCTTAATGACTTCCGTCCGCCGCTGGTGCCGGGCGGCTTTTCGCTCTTTTTTCGTTTGTCTTCTTCTTGCAGCAATTGTTGCCGGTAATTGTTTTACATTTCATTGTTATTATTTGTGACAAAGTAGCAGAGCCGCCCGGGCAGAGTTCAGCCGCTCAATTCGGCTTCAACAAGCGGAGGAGTTTTAAAGGGCAACACAACGGCTCCACCCGCCTAGAGATCTGTACCACTGAGACTACTCTGTGCCGTTGCCCCGCCCCCTTGCTGCCCTCTGGGCTGCTATTGGACGAAACGAACACTGAGCTCCCTCCGCTCTTCAATCATAATTAAAGCGTGACTCCAAATACACAGATACATTACATGGGAGCTGTATTCCCTGCCATTAGATTTCACCCCGTGTGTGGCCGCTCATCGATTTGCAATTCTTTCCATCCAGCCCTGAGATTTATTTAGCTCCGCCATAAAGCGCAGCCCTGTCTGGCAGTGGACCTGAGTTTGCTGCAATTCAGTAGCGCAGGTCTTGTCCCTCCCCCAGTCTGTGATGAGGCAGGGGGGTGGGCAACTCCGGCCCTCCAGCTGTGCTTTAACTACAAATCCCAACATGCATCTGCCTCTGGGAGTCATGCCAGTGACTACCAAAGTGTTGCAATGCCTCATGGAACTTGAGGTGGTTTCGCAACAGCTTGAGTGCCAAGTTTACCTTCTTTGCATCTTCTTTGAAGATTATGTTATTGACAGAGTCACAATTTTACTTTCTGTAGATGCCTCTCTCTGCTGGTCATCTTCCTACCGAGCTGGCACTACAAGCCTGATCTATGTTTTCAGCTGTTGTGTGACATTTCAGTATAGGGGTTTCAGGTCATTTCACCTGCTGAATCGCAGAATGAATGTGAAGGAATAAAACCCGAGGAAATAATGTGTATTGCAGAGATGCGCTGAATGATTTTTGTTTTATTTATTATGCTCTTTCATTGTCCAGTATTTGTCTACTGACCATCTTCTCTGCCCCTCCCCCTGCAGGGTGTCCGCACTGTAAGAGCTCCATCACCGACTTCACCTCTGCAGCTGAAGAGTTCAAAGAGGATCGCAAGGTGGGTAAAGCTCAAAGCTCTCTGTGCTGAGTTCCCGGGTCTGTACACCCTCTGTGCCCATTATGAGGAGCTCCCACCATCCCTGTGCTGAGTTCCTGGGTCTGTACCCCCGCTGTGCCCCTTATGAGGAGCCCCCACCATCCCTGTGCTGAGTTCCTGGGTCTGTACCCCCGCTGTGCCCCTTATGAGGAGCCCCCACCATCCCTGTGCTGAGTTCCTGGGTCTGTACCCCCGCTGTGCCCCTTATGAGGAGCCCCCACCATCCCTGTGCTGAGTTCCTGGGTCTGTACCCCCGCTGTGCCCCTTATGAGGAGCCCCCACCATCCCTGTGCTGAGTTCCTGGGTCTGTACCCCCGCTGTGCCCCTTATGAGGAGCCCCCACCATCCCTGTGCTGAGTTCCTGGGTCTGTACCCCCGCTGTGCCCCTTATGAGGAGCCCCCACCATCCCTGTGCTGAGTTCCTGGGTCTGTACCCCCGCTGTGCCCCTTATGAGGAGCCCCCACCATCCCTGTGCTGAGTTCCTGGGTCTGTACCCCCGCTGTGCCCCTTATGAGGAGCCCCCACCATCCCTGTGCTGAGTTCCTGGGTCTGTACCCCCGCTGTGCCCCTTATGAGGAGCCCCCACCATCCCTGTGCTGAGTTCCTGGGTCTGTACCCCCGCTGTGCCCCTTATGAGGAGCCCCCACCATCCCTGTGCTGAGTTCCTGGGTCTGTACCCCCGCTGTGCCCCTTATGAGGAGCCCCCACCATCCCTGTGCTGAGTTCCTGGGTCTGTACCCCCGCTGTGCCCCTTATGAGGAGCCCCCACCATCCCTGTGCTGAGTTCCTGGGTCTGTACCCCCGCTGTGCCCCTTATGAGGAGCCCCCACCATCCCTGTGCTGAGTTCCTGGGTCTGTACCCCCGCTGTGCCCCTTATGAGGAGCCCCCACCATCCCTGTGCTGAGTTCCTGGGTCTGTACCCCCGCTGTGCCCCTTATGAGGAGCCCCCACCATCCCTGTGCTGAGTTCCTGGGTCTGTACCCCCGCTGTGCCCCTTATGAGGAGCCCCCACCATCCCTGTGCTGAGTTCCTGGGTCTGTACCCCCGCTGTGCCCCTTATGAGGAGCCCCCACCATCCCTGTGCTGAGTTCCTGGGTCTGTACCCCCGCTGTGCCCCTTATGAGGAGCCCCCACCATCCCTGTGCTGAGTTCCTGGGTCTGTACCCCCGCTGTGCCCCTTATGAGGAGCCCCCACCATCCCTGTGCTGAGTTCCTGGGTCTGTACCCCCGCTGTGCCCCTTATGAGGAGCCCCCACCATCCCTGTGCTGAGTTCCTGGGTCTGTACCCCCGCTGTGCCCCTTATGAGGAGCCCCCACCATCCCTGTGCTGAGTTCCTGGGTCTGTACCCCCGCTGTGCCCCTTATGAGGAGCCCCCACCATCCCTGTGCTGAGTTCCTGGGTCTGTACCCCCGCTGTGCCCCTTATGAGGAGCCCCCACCATCCCTGTGCTGAGTTCCTGGGTCTGTACCCCCGCTGTGCCCCTTATGAGGAGCCCCCACCATCCCTGTGCTGAGTTCCTGGGTCTGTACCCCCGCTGTGCCCCTTATGAGGAGCCCCCACCATCCCTGTGCTGAGTTCCTGGGTCTGTACCCCCGCTGTGCCCCTTATGAGGAGCCCCCACCATCCCTGTGCTGAGTTCCTGGGTCTGTACCCCCGCTGTGCCCCTTATGAGGAGCCCCCACCATCCCTGTGCTGAGTTCCTGGGTCTGTACCCCCGCTGTGCCCCTTATGAGGAGCCCCCACCATCCCTGTGCTGAGTTCCTGGGTCTGTACCCCCGCTGTGCCCCTTATGAGGAGCCCCCACCATCCCTGTGCTGAGTTCCTGGGTCTGTACCCCCGCTGTGCCCCTTATGAGGAGCCCCCACCATCCCTGTGCTGAGTTCCTGGGTCTGTACCCCCGCTGTGCCCCTTATGAGGAGCCCCCACCATCCCTGTGCTGAGTTCCTGGGTCTGTACCCCCGCTGTGCCCCTTATGAGGAGCCCCCACCATCCCTGTGCTGAGTTCCTGGGTCTGTACCCCCGCTGTGCCCCTTATGAGGAGCCCCCACCATCCCTGTGCTGAGTTCCTGGGTCTGTACCCCCGCTGTGCCCCTTATGAGGAGCCCCCACCATCCCTGTGCTGAGTTCCCGGGTCTGTACACCCGCTGTGCCCATTATGAGTGACAGTCTCATGTTTCTTTGTTTTCTCTGCTGGAATGAATGCTATGATGCATAAACATGGCTTTCCAATCCAGAAAATCATTAGTTCAGTAATCTCGGGGATGAAATCCTTCTGTTCTCAGAATTAATTTCAGTCGGTAAACAGCATTTGCGTCTGAATTATCGTCGGGCTTAATTAGATTATAGAGAATGATCCTCTTACCGCCGCCATTAATTGTGTCCTTTCCTTTTGTGTTTCCAATTTAGCCGTTCTCTGTTTGAAGAGTCGCTCTCTGCGCCGTGTTCTGGGTTGTAATGTAAAAGGGAGATTTACTGCGGCGGAGGAATTCTTTATGCACTCGGAGGACTCGGGGGGGCCATATCTCCTTCCTCAATATAGATCTATCACTAGAGGGGTCCCCAGCAGGAGGAAGGAGGTCCTGATCCCTCTATATAGATCTTTATTATCCCTAGAGGGATCTCCAGCAGGAGGAAGGAGGTCCTGATCCCTCTATATAGATCTTTATTATCACTAGAGGGATCCCCAGCAGGAGGAAGGAGGTCCTGATTCCTCTATATAGATGTTTATTATCACTAGAGGGGTCCCCAGCAGGAGGAAGGAGGTTTATATTGTGTTTTTTTAATGTATTTTTTAATAAACTTTAATTTTTATTTTTTTATTTTACTGTTGGGAGCTTCGGGGAAATATTGGGGGTCTAAACAGAACCCTGATATTTCCCTTTTTAAAATAGAAAAAGAGATTGAAAACACAGAGTCCTCTATCTCTTTTTCTGTGTCCCCTGTTATCAACGAACAGGAATCCTTTGAGTGTTCCTGTTTATTGATAACATGGTATGATTACTATAACCACAATCATGAATGAACAGGAAGTGATGTAGATGTGATTTAGATCACTTCCCATTCATTCATACTTGAGGCTATAGTAACCATACCATTTCCTCAATTATCTACAAACACTCGGAGATCACTGATCGCCGACTGCTTGTACTGCTCTGCTGGACTGTGATAGGAGGCTGAGCGGTGTGGGAGGAGATACGCCGGCCACTGGTAAGGAGCACACGGAGCTCCCTGGATTTGTACATCTCTGTTATAATGTCCTGATTTTGTTTTTATAAATATATATTCGGGATGTACTGATACATTTGTTTTTCGTGTCATGTGACCGTTTTTCTAAAACAATACGGACTAATGATTTCAGGACAGTGGTGGAGCACCAGAGCCCGGTCCCAGCTGCAACCGCTGCAACCCTGGTAGTTCTCCTGAAAATGCCAAGTATCGGCGCTGGTATCGGTGCATCCCTAAGGCCTCATTCACACTGCCGCGCCTATACGCGCTGTACCATATGCAACACATGGAAATAAATGGCTCCATACACATAGCCGCGTATGGAGCCGTATATATGCCCAAAAACAGAATGGAACCGAGATGCGTCCGGGCAGCGTATCTCTGCGTATTTACGCGCACATACGTACAGCACATTAAAATTCCATTACGAGTGATGCATTCTGGGATTGCATACAGTGCACGCATAGGCGCGTATATACGCAATATACAATTTTGCTTGCGTTGTGTGTGAATGAGGCCTTGCAGTAACCATCATCTCCGACGTATGCGCTCCCTCATCAGTCACATGACCTCACTCCGCGTCTCCCGGAACTTTCTTGTTTTTACAGATCGCCTACGGCGCGGTGGACTGTACCAAAGAGAAGAACCAGGAGCTGTGTAAGGTGGAGGGGGTGGAGGGCTTCCCCACCTTCAACTACTACAACTACGGCAAATTCATCGAGAAATACAACGGAGAGCGCGCGGTGAGTGTGAGTGCGCACGCGAGAGGAGCCCGGGGAGCTCCGCAGCCAATCACCTGCTTAGATTTGTCTGACGGGTCTCAGGGGGACTCCGGGGGCGTGAGCTGAAACTGAGAATACAAGTAACGGAGCGCTTTGAGCAAATGGTATTATGTTGACCGAGCTGCTTCCAGGGGGGATCGGCTACAGCTTTGAGGGCCGGTGCGCACCTAGGCGATTTATCGCGCAAAACACAGATTCCAATTGAAGTCAATGGAGGCTGCTCACACCTTTTTTGCGGTTGGTCGCGCGGACAGGCGCAGGAGCTATTTTCGGCCGGTTGTCCCGCGGTTTGGTTCCCATAGACGTCTCTATGGGACACGGTCTTTATA